TGCCAAAGTGTCAAATTGGAATTGTAATTGGTTGCTTCTGTAAACAGCACAGAATCAAACAAACTTTCGTTTGCATAGAATGGGAGCCAATCCACTTTCAAGACCAAAGAAAGATAAAGCTTGGTCTTAGTCAGTATTAAGTTCTGATAACAATTGGAAAAGAGGAAAGGAAAGCTACCTAATGTACTTGACCATTCTTTCCCTGTCTCTAAATGTTCCGCTCTCAGTGCTCATAAATTGGGCGTCAGAGAACGTCCTTTCTCTATATTTTCTTTGTTGTTGTATATATGGAAAAGTTTCCATTATCAAAGCGCCGCTTCAGTCAGCAAGTTTCGTAATTTCCATTGTACTTTGTACTACGAGTGCGTGTTACACCGTCCTCGCGAGGGAGGTTCGATGTACGGTTCATAGGTCAGCAGCGGCAAGCGAAAATCAATATTAAACCGAACCGCCCACAACTTACCATATTACGGGGCCTGCTACTGCTGCTGCTGCTGGTCATGTTGTTGGCCATTTCCAAGCCGTCCGGTAGGTCAGCGGACTCCTCCGGGGCTAGAGACAGGCACTGGGTTGCGCTGCATAATGCATGGACTGCATCCGCTTCCTGCTTGGACGACGTTTTGTGGCCTAAATTGCTCCAGCTGCGATTACGCCTCAAGTGGATGGGACCAGAGCGCGAACCGAACGTGGAAGATGGATAGGCTCCGAGCTTGGCGCGCGTACTGAATCCACCTCCGCCGGCAGGTCGCACGGAATCCGCGCCAAGCTGCTCTTTGGTTCCGCGCAGGCGCAGGGAAGCGGAACGGCGGAATGAAACCGCCTCGCTGGCCGCGGGATGGGGAATTCGTGTAGGGGTGGTAGATGTCGAGTTGGAGTCCTCATCCTCCGGCTCGCGTTGCTCGGAGGCTGGCGATGACGTCTCCGTGTACAGTAGTGTCGTCATCATCTGAAAGTGAAATGCAAAAATAAACTGAATGCAAATCGAGCTTATATTATAATTCCCCTTCCCACTGATTGGTTGCACTTTCGAAAATTGAGCAATTTTATAATTGAATGCTTCACATAAACGACTTCATTATCTTAAATGCTCGGCAGCTAATTAAAACTTTCTTCAGCGAACAATTCATTATTATGTACCCCTTTCTATGCACCTTCCTAGCCTATCCATCCAGCAATTGCACTGATTTGCTGGGCAGATCCAAAATGAAAAGTGAAACTAAAGCAGTTTCCCAGACATGCAACTCTCAGTTTTTATCGGTTTCGGTTTCAGTCCCCTTCCACACAGAGTCCTCAAGTTTTGTTGTGATGTTTGTAATGCACACAAGGGGTAAGGGTATATGAAGTTCGTCGCTCCCATCTTGCTATTAATTCATTTATTTTCTGGAAGTTATTGCGAAATTTGTGTTGAAGATCTTTTTCACTTTTGCGGCTGTGGTTGTCCGGCTGGGTCTGGTGTGCCACGGTTCTAGTTACACCAAACAACCTGAGCTTTCGAGTCGGCCTCTCGGCTGAAACAGTTGCGCACACATTTGACACTTATTTTGTGTTTGAAACTTATATGTATGTGTGTACTCATATAGATTATAGCTCCCAGTGATGGCAACAGTCAAAGTCGATCTCTTACTTTTATGACTACACCCTTGTCCGACCCAAAATCCCATTGAAGCCCAATATCTTCTTATCTACGATAATGACTTAATGTTATTTTTCGATTCAACTCATATTAATTATTTCTTTCAAATAAGGTATTTACAATGATCCCCGAAGTTTCCATTTAACCTCCAAACTCTTCTCTCTACACATTTTAACAGTTTACAAAAACCAAACAATTGTTTTAACCAGTTGACCCTTATTATTGCCTCTCCTCTGAGTCTGTCTTTCTCCTTCTCCGGCTCTTAGGGCGACTATCATTGTTAAGTATTTCCGCTCATTTCTTTTAAACATAGCAAACAGCAACAACCAAGACAAGTGTGGAGACAGCCCAAAGGCAACTCTTCTGTTTTTGGAGTTTTGGGTTTTCTGGGGCCATAAAAGGTCAATTACACAGCTGAACAAACGTGTTTTTTCTTTCATTTTTTTCAGCTTCAATTTGTTTCAGTTTTTGTTTTTCTTTTTGCACGTCTTTTGTAGTGGTATGCCATTAATGAGATTGAATGCATTTAACAGCATTTCTTTGAACTGGATTATTACTTTTACGTCGACAAGGTCAACGATAGCGTTTCAGTTGTCAGATGTGAAGTTATTTATTGAATGATAAACTGTGTGGGTTTCTTTCTTTTGATTAGTGGCAATGGCAAAATGTATTTTTACTTGAAAAATACACTTAATTTTTTCAGTAAACTTTCAAAATCTTATTTCAATATCGCGATTATTCTCTGTGGCGTTTTGAATTCATCGTGTCCCTAGCATAGACCCGGTTTGTTCTATGGAAGCTCAACTGTAATCATATGTCACGTTTCGCTCCAGAGATATTGCCTCTAAAAAGCTCCCGACTACCTACCCGTAGTTCTCTATGCCGCTCACTTATCAACAAAAACAATTTGCGGCCGTGTTACGATTCTGATAAGAAAACACCAACGAAATCATCCACGAAAAACGAAATAACAACTCAGCTAAAAATTGCCAGGGAGCAGAAAATGTAACATTAGTAACTCGATTCGCTTGAAACTGAAATATTTACACGCAATTTACATACAAATGGTTACACAGAATTTTAGCAACTTTTAAATGAAAACTCTGAACTGTTGGCTAAGTAAAACCAACTCAAAATGTAAACAATCCGCGTGCTGAGGGCGAGCGACAAAATGCAACTGAAAAGCCACCACGGAGCAGACGAGCTCAGAGGCAAATGGAAATGCTGTCGGCAGGTGGAAAAGCTATTGTTCAATTACCAAAGCGAGACGGAAAATGGAGTAGCAAATGTTGCAATCATAAAGCAAACCTGCAGCCGGTCTGAGGCTGTGCCGGTGTCTGATCTGCGGCCACCTTTGACTTTGCCGCCCGTTGATGGCATTTTAAACGAATTTTCGGGCGTCTGGGAGGGCACCATGAATGGGGCTCGGCCTGGGTGAAAGGCAACGGAAAATCAAAATGTTTTGTGCAATTAAGTGGCACAATAAAGACGGCAATGCATTGTTTTGCCGGCGACCTGATGAAGCTGCTATGAGTATTTCTCATGGCATTTGACGGGCAGCAGGCGATGGTGCATACATTTTGAATTGTTTGGTCTTGCGGTACATCGAACCACTCAAGTGGCACTCACTTTTCTGTCACTTTCTGTTTTAAATGTTTGGATTGCCACCGATAAAGCATTTTGAGTTGGCTTCAGTGCAAAATATACAGGTTAGCCGTGAATGAACCAATTCTCTCGTATTTTTAGATGGTTTGGGAGACATATGAAAGAATATCACCTTTTTAACGAAAACATTTCTATAAAAATGCCACAAAATACCGACCATAGTGACGTTAAATAAATGGTGCAAAGAAATGATGTGTAGCAAATGTGTGTTGCTTCCACCACATCTTTTAAAAAGGAGTCAGTATTGTAGAATATTGATTCCTCAAACGAAACAAATTATATATTCAGTGCTTAGAAGCATATCTAGCAAGTAATATTAAATAAAACATCAAAATCGAGGAATATGATTCAAGACTACGGTATATTTACGGTATATTTTTGAAATGAGAAGGTTTAATTCGGTATATTTCCGAGGGTCTGTCGGTATATTTTATTGATAATTCCGCGGTCACACTGTTACTATTACTTGCATTTTTACAAAACTTTGTGTTTTTTTGCAAATTTCACACAAAAGTAACTTAAAGTTACCTTCTACATATACATTATCCTCCAACTTTAAAGGTAAGCGGCGTGAATCATTGTGAATAAACTATTGTTACACTCATATACTGTCGCATCGACAGCCGTATTATGGACCGTTTGCTTCGTCTCGGTGGCGCTATGCCACAAGCCGCTCCACCAACAGATGCCCCTGTCGTGGACACCGCAGAGCAGGTCTACATCTCCTCGTTGGCGCTGTTGAAAATGCTGAAGCACGGTCGAGCTGGTGTCCCAATGGAAGTGATGGGTCTGATGCTGGGAGAGTTCGTGGATGACTACACTGTGCAGGTCATTGATGTGTTTGCCATGCCACAGACTGGCACGGGAGTGTCCGTGGAGGCTGTGGATCCCGTTTTCCAGGCCAAGATGTTGGACATGCTGAAACAGACGGGCCGCCCTGAGATGGTTGTGGGATGGTATCACTCGCATCCTGGATTTGGCTGCTGGCTGTCCGGCGTGGACATCAATACGCAGCAGTCCTTCGAGGCGCTCTCCGAACGCGCCGTGGCCGTTGTCGTCGATCCCATACAGTCCGTAAAGGGCAAAGTGGTCATTGACGCCTTCCGCCTAATAAACCCAAATATGCTGGTGCTGGGCCAGGAGCCTCGCCAGACCACCTCCAATCTTGGGCATTTGCAGAAGCCTTCCGTGCAGGCACTGATACACGGACTTAACCGTCACTATTACTCAATTAGCATTAACTATCGCAAGAACGAGCTGGAACAAAAGATGCTCTTGAACTTGCACAAAAAGTCTTGGAAGGATGGTCTGACACTTTCCGACTACAACGAGCATTGCTCCATAAACGAGGATACTGTCGCCGAGATGCTCGATCTGGCCAAGAACTACAACAAGGTTGGTTTTGGCGTGTGACCAGCGTGTGCACCAACTTTCATATCATTTTTTTTGTCACTTTCAGTCCCTTGAAGACGAAGAGAAAATGACTCCGGAGCAGCTGGCGATCAAGAACGTTGGCAAGCAGGATCCCAAACGGCATTTGGAGGAGAAGGTTGACAAGGTCATGCAGAATAATATTGTGCAGTGCCTAGGAGCCATGCTGGACACCATAGTCTTTAAATAAATGTTCCATTTCTCGCTCCCCCTCTTCCCCCACCCCATCCCACTAAGCTATCTTAATAACAAAGAAATAAACTGATTTTTATTTGGAGCAGTTTTTCTCAAAAAAAAAAGTGAATTTCTCTTTATTACTCCTTCCGATCTTTACTTATAGAGAAGTATTGACATACATATTATTAGACAAAATTAAATAACTATTATGCGGCATCGGTGGCCGTGGACGCCAGGGTTGCGCCACCACCGCATTTATTAATCCAAAATGGCGGATGACGCATTTAGGCGCGCTCGCCACGGATTCGACGGGCCAGCTGGATATCTTTTGGCATGATTGTAACTCGCTTGGCGTGGATGGCGCACAAGTTGGTGTCTTCGAACAAGCCCACCAAGTACGCTTCGGAAGCCTCCTGCAATTGCGAATGGAGGTGTTACATGCATGATTTCTTGAGGTCCCAAACCCAAACCCGGGCAGACATTTGCTTACCTGCAAAGCGCCAATCGCAGCCGACTGGAAACGCAAATCTGTCTTGAAATCCTGGGCTATTTCACGCACCAAGCGCTGGAATGGAAGCTTGCGAATGAGCAGCTCTGTGCTCTTCTGGTAGCGACGGATCTCACGCAGCGCCACTGTACCTGGGCGGTAGCGATGAGGCTTCTTCACGCCGCCAGTAGATGGGGCGGATTTGCGGGCAGCCTTGGTGGCCAGCTGCTTGCGTGGAGCCTTTCCGCCAGTGGATTTACGAGCTGTCTGCTTTGTACGAGCCATATTAAATTAAACTATCAAAATTGTGATTGTAGTTGCAAATGATGTTGAAATTTTTTCTAGATTATTGATGGAAAACAGTCAGTGTGACCGCAGCTTTATTGATTTAATATACCGTACGACCCTCAAAAATATACCTTATAATTTTCAAAATATACCTCTAGTCTAAAATCAATTTAATATTACTAGCTGGTTGGGATTCTCAGCACTAAAACTATAATATAATCAAATTGATGAATACATTTTACACAAGATTGGGGATAAGGGTTAAGGTAAAAGATATATAGTAACTGCACATCTGGTACGTGTAGTTTGTGCTTTTGGTGGAATTATGAAGAGATATTGTATGTGCTTTTACCTACCTATAAAACAAATCTAAGGACCCAAAGTCCTAAACCAACAGAAAATTAATGTTTATTCTTAGAGTCCCATTAATGTTTCAGCAAGTAACGGCAAAAGCATCGAGTACTGTCGATAACAATGCTCATTCCGTACTGTCATCTCTATCTCAATTATAGCGGCACTTTCAATTTTAGGTAAGATAAATATTTTATCTATTAGTTTCGGCAATTACTTTATATTTTTGGAACTTTCAGTGTTTAAAATGTCTAACTATTCATTTGGCACTTGCCCATATAATAAAGAACATCGCATCATGCTATTCCGCATGCCGGGCCATATTGTCAAATGTATGAAAAACTACCGTGGGCCGCCCCTGCAAACTTGCAAATATAATGCCATACACCGCGTGCTCGACATGGAAGAGCACCTGAAAGAATGTGAGGACTACCACAAGTTTACTGAGAATAATTCGTTTCAAATGGCGCTTTCGGTGCGCGCACAACCCATTATTTACGACGAAGATGCTGTATAAGGCACTATGTTTGAATCAACATTGACTTTACTTACGACCATGTACATACATCTTCATACGTAGTGGATGTACGCCCTGCAGAGCAATACATCATTATTGTTATACCTTTAATCTTGCTATAATTTTCCGTACTATGTGTACGGATATTGTTATTAATTCATCATTAATCCGTTGAAACTATCGAAGAACAGCTAATGTGTACCCATACTTTTTCACCCAAAGAAAAAAATAACATACTGTGTATGTTTGCTTCGCCATATTCGAAAATAAAATTACGATTTAAAATTATTTGTTTATTATGAAACTTACTCAATAAAGCAAATGTTTTGGTATTTACAAGCACAGACATTCGTCTGTCCGTCGTTGATTGAATCTGCATTGATTGCACAAAGCCTAGAGTCAAATGCATGCTCGCGTCTTTTCAAAACAGTTAGAGGCACTTTTCCACAAGAAGCACAGTTAGATGAGGATATTTACAATTTAAACCTATGTCTAGGACTAGCTACTAGCACTACACCATGTCCATTTCCAGATCGCTGTCACCCTCCTCGTCGAGGAGCTTTCGTTTGTCATAGGCTGTAGACTTGGAGGATGCCTCGCTCAGACTGGACAATGGACGCACCTTGCCCAGATTGACAACTGGACTTTGGGTATACAAATAGATGGCATAGGAGACGACCGCTATGGCCAGCGCGGTGTTCATGTAGATGGGTATGGAGAACAGAAAATAGCACAGCACAGCCGTGAAGAGCAGCTCCAGGGCACTGGCAAAAGTCTTTAGAATTGAGTTCATGTACTTCAGGAAGAAGCTGGTGACAATCCCAATGGCTGCATTATTCACAATGATGATGATGACACTGAAGCGCATAATGGCGCCCAAATTTTGTGGGCTGAAGGCGTCCAGCAGCTCGCCACGCAGCAGAAGGATGCCCGCATTGCAAACAATCGAGTCAAGGTACATGAACACATTCTGCACGAAGATGTTGACATCTGCACCCTTGTCCTTGAGTAGGTATTCGTTGTAGACACCCGCAAGGCAGGAGAATATCGTCTGGGCCAGGATGAATACAGCACTAAGGCTGAAATCAAAGCCAGACATGTTTTTGCCATGCACTTGGTGATGCTCAGCGGTGTGATTGCCGTTGGATGGTATGGGCTGGATGGCCGCAGACTCGCTGTCGTCGTTGGCATCGCTGTAAAAGCCGCTGAAATCAACCTGCTTGAGCATGCAGCCGAGGGTGAGCAGTATCAGCGATATCCATTGGCGTTGAGATAAATACTTCTTGAATATGATTTGAAAGAGAATGCCCGTGACGACAACGCGCAGCTGCAGCAGTAGATAATACGTGGTGGGATCGAACGTGGCTAGGTTGACGAAAGCGAGATTGTTGTAGAGGCAGTATAGGAATGCGGGCACCATGTACAAGGCCAGCACATTCCTGTCTTTGTGCACATCGCGCACCAGAGAACGCAGATTGTTGCTGTGGGGAGAAAAACACGATAAATTGATGCTGGCTTCCAGCCTCTTATCGCACGGTACTCACTCTCTGCAATACAGGCATGTGGACACTATCAATTTGAACACTTCCGTCAATAGCACAACGGTTACAGTGTTATAGCCATACGAGTTGTTGGACTCTTGGGATGCTGTGACAAAGATTCCTGGGAAAGAGAGATGCTGAAACTTAACCGAGGATTTTGGCTGAGATGTGCAATTGGGCCACGTACCCTGTCCTATGAAAAGTGACATATACAGCAGAAATATGATGAAAGTAAGTCGGGTGGGGAACAATTCACGCCAATTAGTGGACATCTTTGTCGTCTTGGGCTTGCCAGCGTTGCGTTGCTAATTACTACTGACTTCAGAACAGAACGCTTCGGTTCTTAGCTTCAAGTGGACGGACGCCCGCAGCTGCTATCAGCAGCGCTTCGTGACAAGCGTAGCACTTTTGATTATTAGGAAGTAAATTTTTTTTTTTGTGTGAGATAAACAACTTAAGAAATAGGGCTGCAAAACCACCGATGACCATCGATGAGTTTGTTAGACTATCGATATATCGTTTGAAAAATTAGAGCTCTTTTCCTTCCAAATTTCAAGAGTATCATGAACTAAATGTCTCTGGTCCTCGTATATATATTTTATTTAACTTTAATATCAGCAACATTTTCTGCTCCTGGGAGCCATTTAAATCTACTCGACAACATATAAGAAGCATAATTTATTTACTGAGTTTTGGGCGGTCCATCCAAGACTTTCATACACACACTCGCTATTCCAGTTCACCAGTTTGCTTGTGTGTACACAAAGTCACCCCATTTAAAGCTAAATTTAATATTAATAGTACTGTTAACCGCACTTGATGAACTTGATGAGCTCTTGGTGAACCGAAAGAGTCGACGGACCGAACCGAAAGTATCGATGGTGCTATCAATTTTTCTGCCATCCCTGGAAAGTTCTTTTTCGCTTCAAAATGGCAAATCGTGGTGGTCGTCATGCTCGCACAGAGGATTCAGATAATACCATAAACTATGTGCAATGCGACGGTTTGGTGAGTTATAAACAAACCTAAAACTCTGCGGACATGTTTGTCTGTGAAGTGGCCCAGAAACGCGCATAAGGAAACGCCAAATTCGATGCCACGCGCTGGCCAAACATGTGCATGTGTGTGCGCGTTTCTGTGTGTGTGTGTGTCATGACAAATGCATGGATTTGTGAATTAATAAGCGAAATGCTCTCCACAGGCCGTCATGAAAATGGTGAAGCACTGCCATGAGGAGTCCAGCAACATGGATCTGGCCCAGGGCGCCCTGCTCGGCTTGGTGGTGGACAAGTGCCTGGAGATCACCAACTGCTTCCCGTTCCCCAAGAGCGGCGACGAGACAATGGACGAGGAGATGTACCAGCTGACCGTGATGCGTCGCTTGCGCCGCGTGAACGTGGATCACTTGCATGTGGGCTGGTATCAGAGCTCCGACGTGGGCAACAGCCTGTCGCTTGCTCTGCTCGAGTCCCAGTATCACTATCAGACCAGCATCGAGGAGTCTGTGGTCGTGGTCTACGATACGCAGAAGTCCGCCCGCGGCTTCCTCTGCCTGAAGGCCTACCGCCTGACACCTCAGGCCATACAGATGTACAAGGACGGCGATTTTACTCCCGAGGCATTCCGTACACTAAAAGTGGGCTACGAGAGTCTGTTTGCAGAGATTCCAATCGTGATCAAGAACTCGCCATTGACTAACATCATGATGAGCGAGCTATTTGAGTTGCTGCCCGAAGACAAGGGGCACAACTTCTTGGATCTGGGCACCGCCTCTGTGCTGGAGAATCACATGCGAAGCTTGATTGAGCGCGTCGATGAACTGTACCAGGAAGCAGTGCGCTATAACAAGTATCAGCAAGTGGTGTTCAAGCAGGATTCGGTAAGGAATTTAACCAGCAAAAAACCAGAGGGGCAGGCATTAATATTTGTACTTTGTGTTCCAGGACAAAAACCGTGCTCTGGCCAAGCTAGCCGCTGAGAACGCTGTGCGCACCTCGAAGGGTGAGCCGACGGTGGCCGAGGAGGAGGTCATCAAACAGTTCCGCCCCATGCCCGTACCGGCCAGGCTTACGGCCACAATCACCTCTGGACAGATCAACACACACTCTCAGCACATTGCCCAATTCTGCTCTCAGTCGCTGGCCAAACTCTTCATCACCGAATCGCTGCAGAACGCCAAGGAAGCCAAGGAAATCAAGTAGATTAAAATACGTTTTAGACACAAAGCGAGCCGAGGCATCCTCTAGAGATGTATGCATACACTACTGATGACCAAAATAAATCCATAAACGATTCAGCATTGTATCTGCGTGGAAGCGAAGCACAGCTGAGTTCTATTTTGGGCTCTTTGGTGCTCTCCCATGGCAAATGTTATGGGGGTGTGTTTGCGTTGCGGCTGCCCTCACTTGGTCCTCGCTCGTGCGCACTTGGATTGTTTGGATTTTTAGTTTTTCGTGCGAGTTTCCGGGGGAGTGTTGCAGCCGCTGACGACGGGAAACGCACTTTTCACACATACACACGGCAGCTTCTTTTGGTTTGTTCTTTTTGTTAGCTTTTTATTGCGATTCGCTCAGCTCAGCCGCTTTAAATTAGTTTATAACAAATAACAACCACTAATCCCACTAACAACCAATGGCAATATGCTGTCCTACGACATCAACGAGCGGCTGCTGAGTGCCGTCCAAAGCGGAGACATTGAGCAAGCCCTCAGCTGCATCATGCACGGGGCTCAGGCCTCGTATGTATCGCCAAACTGTGGACGCACGGCCGTCGGCACCGCCGCTCTGCTGGGCGATGCCGAGCTGCTGGAGCTTCTGGTGCAGTCCTGCGAGCAGCCGGAACTGGATGTGTTCCGTCAGAGTGAGTTTTGTGACCCCGCCATGAACTTGTCCTCAGGTAAACAGCTGGCCCAACACAGAAAATCGATATGATAACCTCAGTTTAGGCCACCGAAAGATAGGGATGATTGGTAAAATATCCAGCTGCTCCCTCCTCACATTAGTGGTAGGCGCAAGCAGCTAGCCCTGCTGTTTTTTTCAGCTACCAAAGTTCGCTGGTTAGTGTGGCAGAGCGCTTACCATTGACCCACATGCAATAGGGCGACCCAACTCATTTCAGATGTTAAACGAATTGCATGTGCAGCGCAAAGAAGTACACGAAATGAAATGATTCGAACCAAACCGGTTCTCTAGCCGCACCACACCTCAGATAAGAAAAGAACAGAATAGCTGACGTGTTGGACAGCGTCAGTTACCCAATTGAAAATGCTAGACATAGTAGGCGCCTTACGTTAGGAATAACAGGTAGAGGAATTGACAGGAAGTGACAGCAATAAGACAATTCAGTGTTCAGTCGCTCAAACAATTGTTTCGCTATTGCAGCACATACTGATAGCCTGGAGATCGAGAGCACACCCGAAGGTATGGATAAGCTTGAGTGGGTGGACGAGTTTGAGTGCTGCGCGGAGAACACTGGACAGCCGACTGCTGGTGCCGGTGGCGAGGACAGTCTGTTGTATCAGTATTATGCCAAGACCTTGGAGAGCATGGGAGAGTTTGTGGCCCAATGCTGCGCCAGTTGCCGCGAGCAGGATCCACATCTATGCGATGCCTGCCTTACCTCACCCCTGCACTATGCAGCCTTCTGGGGGCACGATGAGTGCGTCCGAATACTGTTGGAGCACAATGCGCCCATCAATGTGGTAAATAGCGATGGCTATGGCCCACTGCATTTGGGTGCCGGATTCCCCAAGGTCACCCGACTACTGATCCAGCACGGAGCTCCGGTCAATGCCAAGACCCTGAGCGACGGCAAGACAGCCCTCCACTTGGCCATCGAGAGCAAGTCGAAGGAGTCTGCCCAGCTGCTGCTCCAGACGAACATCAACATCAACGAAACCGACGACTTGGGCGAGACGCCCCTGATGACTGCGATTGCCTGCAGCATGACGGTACTGGCCAAAGAAATGCTCGAGCGGGGCGCCCATATCAATATTCAGGACAAGGAGAACCAAACGGCTCTGATGCTCGCTGTCAGGGGTCGCCACACGGACATGGCAAAGCTTCTCCTCGAGCGTGGAGCTCGGCGTCTGGCCTCACAGCATCTCCTGCACCTCGCCGTTGGACACAACAATCGGAAGCTGGTGGAGATTCTGCTGCAGTATGGAGACAGTCTCTCTGTGCGGGACAGCGACAACCACACACCCATCATGGTGGCCATCTACAATCAGCAGCCAGAGATGCTGGGCTATCTGCTGGACGTGGCCGAGCAGCAGCGTCGTCAGGGCCTGTACATGAATGCGCAAGACGAGGGCTTGATCCTATTCGCCGTGCAGCATGCCCTCCACGTAGACGATCTGCGGGGTGTCCTTAGAGTGCTGTTGTCCAGGCTGTCCAGCGCCCGTTCAGATCTTTATGGATCGTGTGCTCCGACCATAGTCTGCGGTCTTATCTACTGCCAGACTCCGCTGTCGCGAGCCATCAACCTGCACCGTCTGGACCTAGCCGAGCTGCTCATCCTGGAGGGCTGCAATCTGGCACAGATTTGCCCGGACCATGTGGTCAGCGAACTGCGTTCGAACTGCTCTCAAAGGAGCGTGGCCTTTGGTCGATTGCTGTGTAAGTTTCGATCTGACGCACAATTTTGTTCCGTTTCCAAAACCTTTGTCTTCCCCTAGACAACGCCGGTTTCCAGCTGCCACCATTCAAGAAGCGGTTGGCAGCCAACAATTGGGCCGCGTCACGACAGCAACTCGAAAGGGAAATGTTCCTGCATGCAAATAGCCCGCGCTCCCTGAAGTCCACCGCTCGTCTGGTGATTCGCAAAAATATTCTTCGGAATCTGCAAGTGCAGCACTCCCTGGAACAGAAATATCTGCCGAAACCGCATCGATCCACCCTCGGACTAATCATCGACGAGTTTGATATACCAGAGATATTGAAGAAATATCTCAGCGACTTTGAAGAGTTGCCCAAGGTGTGGTCCATAGAGGCGGATCGCGAACCCATGCGCGTCTACAGATCGCCCGAGTCGTGGGATTAAGAATTTATTCAGATTATATAGGTTTTAAATATGTGGGGGTATATGGTATGTAGCTTTTAGTTTCGTATATTGGCCAATATATTTATGGTAAGGCCCATCTCTGAATGTCTATATTTGTGAATAGGAGAGTGTTAGGGTTATTCCATATTCCATATTCCAATCCGAGTTCGATCAGAGATACCAACACAATCCTTGCACAACTCTAATGTGATATTAATTTCTTACAATGTATTACATATTTGGAACTGTGTCTCCCCCACACGAATGCTCTCGCTACTTGCATCTGTTTGGGAGACATGAACTAAATTACTTTGCACAGACATGTGTATATTTGTAGTCTTTATGTAGATATTTATATGGGTTATTTATTTGACTATGCCAAAGTTAAGATTACTTTTCGCCCACATACAATCTATTGTATCTCTGACGGAACGTAACTCAAGAGGGTATATTACACATGCAATTTGTAAATTAGAATTTTAGATATCGGATGCAATTTTAGAAAAAAAGATACATACATGTTGACTTTCTTAATAAACAATACAGAGTTTTAAAGAAATATTTCACTTTTTTGTTCTTAGATTAAAAAGAAAACGACATTGTAAACGACAATTTGTATGCAGAATGACGCCCCTTAGGGCTTTAGCAGTAGCTTAAAGTCGTCATTCGCATTCTCCATGATGTACTCAAATGCAAATTTATCCTTCTTGTCCTTGAGCTGTTTCAGTGTTGGCTCCTGCTCCAGTAGGTAGCGACAAACCTCCAGGTGGCCACGCAATGCTGCACGATGTAGCGAGCTCTGCCCGCACTCATCCTGCAGCAGGAGATTAGCCTTGTGTTCCGTCAAGAGCTTCACTATATCCAGATGACCTGTGGGCATGCAATTAGAGGTATTATAAAAGATAATTAATGCGAATAAAAATGTATACCCATCATGGCTGCCCGATGAAGTGCTGTGGCACCAGCCTTGGTCGCCGCATTCACATCCACTTTGCCCTCGTCAATGAGGAGCTTGCAGATTTGTGCGTTGCCACTGCGTGCCGCATAATGCAGAGCCGTATAGTCACAGTCATCTCTCGCCATGGCCTGGCCCTTCCTGATGAAATCCCTTACACGATCTACCTCATTATAGATGGCTATGGGGAGAAGGTGTAAGTAATGGGATTATGGGATTACAAACATCTCTTACCTGCATTCCATATGCCCCGATCAAAGTCCATGTCGCTAAGCGTCTGCTGTGCCGGCTGCGTTTGCTTGTGGCATCTGCAGTTGTCGGCACTGTGCTGATCCATTTTTGCTTAATCCTTTCGAGAGTGTATTCAGTTTCGATGTGAAATTCCTTGTTTATGTGATTTGCTTGAATGATTGTGGATTGTGACGACTTGTGGTGAAATGGGCAATGTTTAGACCTCACGTTGCATGGTCCAGCAGATCTCGGCCTCACCGCAACTGCAGACGACTTTGTAGCTTAGCTGGGCCAACGTATTTAACATAACCATGGGTGGCACTGCCACCATAATACCATTCACACACTGCTTGACGCCGCTGTCGAAGCGCTTAGACAGAGCCTGTACCTCGGCCTGGTTCAAACCGAATATGGTACAGGTGTAGTCGTGGAGCGAGCCCTTGACGGTGATGTAGACAAAAGTGCCCTCCGATTGGAGTATGGGAACTGGAATGGTCACAACATTGGCGGGACAAGCGGCAGCGGCAACAGCAGCAGCGGCGTTCAACGATGTGGTCGATGACGCAGCAGGACACTCGCAGTTCAAATTCGACTCCTTTGCCGTGGGCTGGCTGTCACTCATAGTTTTCGTTTGGGTCTTGGATTGGTTAAGTCACTTTTTCACTCACTTATTGTGGTGCGGAAGGCTCCAGAATGTGTTGTGGATTAAGTTTCCCTACGTTGCTATAGTTTTCTTCACATGCATATACTCATACACGCACACAAGAACGGTCACAGGCACGCACACACAATATTATACAACTATTTTAAACTTTTTTCTGATTTTTTGAGATTGTTTGTTGGGGAAATGATTGTGCTTATTCGGGCGAATCCACCTTGTGATAGTTGCCTAAGCTGGCTGCCTCCCGGCCAATATTTGACAGATTTTCGCGCACTACCGACTCTGCCTCCAAGGGTTCTGGTTCGTCAAACTCCTTGCGCATTGTCCACATATATTCGTTGTAGTCCTGTTTCACGGCTGTCGACGAGCTGGCCACAACGCGAAATCCCAATATCTGCAAATAAATTGCAAACATGAGTTGTGCGTCAGCTTTGTTCCCACTTATTTTACTCACTTCTAGCGCCGATAAAATGCGACAAGGATGTACTAAGTAGACGATGGTGGACTCATCACTGTAACCGCCGCACGAGAATTTGTTCAACTGCTCGATGTCGTCAGCTGTAAGGTATGGGTTCAAGTGATTAGTTTGGTTTATTTTCTGTGGAAATCGCTTTCCTTTTCGTTTATCATGAAGGGAGCTATGTTTAAACAGAACAAACAAAAGATAACACTGCCCGAACAGCACCAGATGACGTCAGCGCAGGGCCGCCGGACAGGTCTGTGTCGTTGGGTGTGTGAGTGCGCTAATTAAGCAAAAAGCCAAAATGTACTGTTCGACTCAAATTATCAGAAAAATTGTGCTATTTCATTCCAAGTTCTTGGAATATTGTAAAGTGTATTGACTTCTGCTATGCAGGCTATGCTTTAAATACCAAAAAGTAATATGCCGATATACATTTGCGTTGTATGTTTTATCAGATATGTAAATACAGATGTACATACATATGAATACAGTAACTGCAAATGCGTTCTCTGAGATGTGAACTGAACGGCACAACAAAACGAAATTGACAACGAGAGAAGTACGTGGAGAGTGGAGCTTCCAACAGTGGCGGTCGTAAAAAGAGGGAGGGTGAGATTGGGCGGTGCCAATGGCATGCAATTAAGGCACATCTGTTTATTTGTTGTGGCAATTATAAGTAAGGTATAGTGAGTGTGTATCTATGGACGTAAAATAAAAAATCTGTTTTTAAATCTGCTTTTAACAAGCTTATGCTAAAATACACAATAAATTGTAAAGTAATGGGTTGCGTAAAAAAATCCAGGTTGTAGTTTATATGCACGTTTAGCTGAGACAAAATCACCTGAGCAGAATAGGCTGCACCACAGCTCTGGCATGCGTACATATTTGTTGGACCGTCAGTGTTTGTTCATTCAAAAAAGTTTTGGTTGTAGTGTAATGTGGAAATAACCGTAACTAGCGCTTTAAGCTTGCGACTTCTACTTGTGTGCGTATATATATATGTAGATATGTATGCATATGTTTATCTGTTTGCCAAGCAATCTCTAAATGAATTGTGTCACAATAAAAAAATGCACAAAACAGCTCAAAATAAAACAATACGAAATTGTTGCCAAATCGAAAAAGGGAAATCTACTACTTGAACTGAACTGAATAGCCGTGGCTGGGTTTACCTTTCAATCCAGAGACAAGCACACGCCATGGATATTTGTGACTGTAGGAGGCTAGATTGCCGCGTATGATAATGTACGGCATTTGGTATGCTTTTTCTATTTAATTAGCGCGGGCGGAGTCGAAGTCAGAGAGTCCGAAAATTGGTAAAAATCAAATGCAAGCACGGGAAAGAATTAGGTACCCAGACGACGACAAAAGCTCGCTTTTCTATCTGAAGGTTGGCTCACAACTAAACCCGAAATTGGTTTTGACGTGTTGAAGAGGTTTTTCCAATGCCAACGACGAATCGCTGTCTGCGTCTCTGCTCTTTTTTTTATGATATTAATAGACGTCGCGCTGCTTAGGCTGAAATGGTTAGCAGCGTTTTATTGGATTAGGCTGTACGAGTAATGTGTGCAGATACCGAATGACAGTGACGCATAGGACCCACCCAAGTGTGCGGTCCCAGGATAATAATTAACATACATATAGACACTTTGACCCCACGACCAGTTGCATGCCACGCTTTGGCCAGGAGCTATAATTACACTGACCACCACCGATTCGGGAAAGTTAATGAGTATTTCCGTGGTACCGACCAAAAATAACAAAACTTTCCTCCATAAGCCGGTCAACAACTACTATTGTGGCTAGGAGAGGGCTCCTTACACACACAGCCACCTACACAAAAGCTTTTGCTCCCATCCCCCATTTCTGAGAGTGGTGTCCTTTGCGTGTTTTGGGCCCACAAATTTGAGTAAATTATGATCAAATTTCTAACTAAATAAACGCGCAAGTATAAACGAGTTTTATGCCACACAGCTGTCGCAAAAAAGGTGCTGCTATGATGTCATTTGTATTTAATAGTCTCCCCTTTGCCTTTTATAAAATGTTTTCTCGTACTAGTTTTTGAGGAGCTCCACATCACTTTAACTCACGATTTGTTAACTTACATTCACTTAGTACCTGGTCCACTGAATATGTGATTGTTGTCACCTGTTTTTAACAACAAAACCAAAAAAACTCCAACAATTTTCACAATCTGAGACAGTGAGCCGAAGAAACATTGCGACTATCGATGAAACATGGATGTACCCGATGTTTTATAAAAAACATTTTTTAATACATTTGTTTGGTTGACGCATTACATGTGTATTTCTCTCTCTCACTCTACCTGATTACTTCTTTTAGTGTTTTAATTTCAATATCGTCAACAAAAAGGGGTGGATTGAAAAAACATCGATGGCAGTCCGATGGCGGTGGATGCTATCGATATTTCTCCAGCGTCAATGCAGCCCTTTTGCCTGCGTAAATAAATAAACGGAAAGTGTTTTGAAAAATAATAATAAATCCAGTAGGTAACGAACGAATATATGCAATTAAAACCATAGCAAAACGCAAGAACGCAAAGCTAAGCTGTCTAAAGGAAAGAAAAATCAAGAAAGGAGCGACACTGTTTTGGGTAAGAATGTTAACTCGAAATATTTTTTAATACCTATGTATGCTTGAATATGGCATTTGCATATTTCAGCCAGAGCGAAAGGTGAACAGAGTTCATTTATTTTTCTGCTATTACGTGTGTGCCCCTGTAGCCGCCGGCAGACTAAGAGACCACAAGTGGCCCCAGTCCCACTTCCCATATGTGTTTGTAGTTAGCTGCGCGTGTGTGAGGTTTCAAGAGGCTGTGCTGCCAAAAAAAGAAACAAATCGAACAACAGAGAGAACGCCGTTCCGCATAATCAATTAAAATGCCCAGAAATCTTCCCATGTTTCCGCTTGTGCTGTGCACAGTGGCAGTGTTCGCTGCCGTAGTGCCCATGCCCGCTTTCGGAGCCGTTGCGACGCATAAGCATTCGGCACACGAGAATCACTTGAGCAAGGAGCGGGTAAAGGACGGAATCCATGCACCGAGGGATGCTCACCATCATGGCGAGGATGGCGAGCACAATGTGGAGTTCGACCACGAGGCCATCATTGGTGAGTCACGTCTTCTAAATAGCCCGATTGTTTCCACGCGATTTGTTTATTTGTGTGCCATATTGAAATCCATAAAATCTGTATGCTGACTGAAACACGTCAGTAAAGGTCTGTGGTATTAGGTTTTGTACTCGTGCACATGATGTTTCGCCCTTCACGCTTAGAAAAAAGTATTAAAGTATTAATTCACTTATGCTAGGCAATACGAAAGAGGCGCAGGAATTCGACACGCTGACGCCGGAGGAGTCGAAAAGGCGCCTGCTCGTGCTGGTTAAGCTGATGGATCTCAACAAGGATGAGTTTGTTGACCGACATGAACTGAAAGCATGGATATTAAGGTCTTTTAAGTGAGTGTTGTCTGTGGATTAATGCACCCCAATCAGTGTCGCCAGCTGCTAACCCTTATCCGCTAGTGACTGCTTCTGCTCGCCAAACTGACAAATGAAAACATACATAAAACGAATTTATTTGTAAAACTAATTCTAATACTTGCAGAAAGCTTTCCGAAGAGGAGGCAGCTGATCGCTTTGATGAAATCGATCAAGAAACGGATGAGAGAATCACGTGGAAGGAGTACTTACAGGACACCTATTCCATGGAAGATGAGAATTTTAAGAAGGAGACCATCGACTTTGACAACTACGAGGAGGAGCAGAAAATGATTAAGCAGGATAAGGAGATGTTTAATGCAGCCGATATAAACAAGGACGGCGTGCTGAGTCTCGAGGAATTTGTGTACTTCCACAATCCCGAGGAACATCCACAGATGCTTCCCATACTCCTGGAGCACACCATGCAGGACAAGGACTTGAATCACGATGGCAAGATTAATTTCCAGGAGTTTGTGGGCGAGGCTGCCTCACATCACGACAAGGAATGGCTTCTAACTGAGAAGGAGCGCTTCGACAAGGATCACGATATCAATGGGGACGGTGTGCTCACGGGCAACGAGGTGCTCTCGTGGATAGTGCCCAGCAATACGGCGATTGCTAGCGATGAGGTGGACCATCTGTTTGTCTCCACCGACGAGGATCACGACGATCGTCTCTCCTATCTGGAGATCCTCAAGAACTATGAGACTTTTGTGGGCAGCGAGGCCACAGACTACGGAGACCATCTGCAGAACATCAACCACCTGGCCGATGAGCTCTAATATGTAAATCTGTATTACGAATGAACTCTGCTGTATAGAGTTATACAACATTTGTGTGTGTGTAGCATTATACTTCCCATTTGTATAGTTAGTAAATGTATGTTTTATTTATGTAAATCCAAGAATCCCCCCAAAATGAAGCAAAAATCAATATCGCTAATTGAGCGTTTCTTACGAATTTCATTTGCATGTCCAAGCTTGCCATCTACGTGTACCAATTAAATTATGTGTAGTAATTTATACAGACACCAAATCTACAATAATCATAATAAGAATAATGTAATAAATCATTTTTACTAAAATATTTATGTGACCAAAGCTGTATTATACCTTTACACGTGCCATAAATGTTTTTTAGTTCAAGGGAAACATTGTTTAATTATGTTTTGTATGACTAGAGTTGAGTTTTTCAATCGCTAAATTAGATTACTTATGAATAATTGCTGTCTATGGAGCGTAGCCCATTTATACAAAGGTTTTTTTTAGCAGCGTGTTCCTTTGACTAGATTTCACACTCGTCTGTACCGAAAAATATTTATGCTTAGCTCTATGACCCTATGACCTTATCTTATTTTGCGGTTAGCTTTATGCCACAAAATACAAATCGAATATTTATGTTTATTCCTCATTTTCTTATATCACAAATATTGCACCAAATTGGCCTATTTCCCCACATTTTATCTAAAAATCTCAACAGAAAGCTACAAACAAAACCAAAAAAAAAAGGATTACAGCAAAAACTACAAAACAATTTAGAATTACTTGAAAATGTACAATATTTTCTAGAAACGTTTTGCTTCTTGTTTCTTTTTAGCTCCACTTGATGGCACAACAAAAGTTTCACGGGTCGCAGCTTACAAATTATTGGGTATGGGCTGGGACTGTTCCACTTCCTTCACTCGATAAACCCCCTGCTAAGATGTGGTCCGCAACGGATCGCCTGTTATATTTGAGTTCCGATGCGGATGTTCCAAACTCTAGAAATCACATAGTATATCGTAGTTGTCGACCTGACGCAGCGGCTCTTTGTCATCGATGACTTCAGTCAGGTAGGCACGGATAGGCAGCGGAAGCTTGAGCTTCTCCAGTTGAGAGGAACTGCGGATTCGACGCATAATAACGGCCCGACAACGGTCCTGCAGATTGACAAACTCACGCCGAGCACTCTTCAGAGTCATCTCCGTTTTGGCGGCTGTCGAGCAGACGATGGGATAGAGGGGCTCCTCAATTTTATCCAATCCCCTGAAGGCCACACCCAGACACTTTCCATCCTTATAGTAAGTCAGCGTGCCCTCAATACCATCGAAAAGCACTCCAATCTGTGTGGAATGATTTTCGCGAAAGCGTTTCGTGTATAGCAGGGCCACGCCATTGTGCCAGAGCACGCCCTTGTGGGAGAGCCCCCATCCGTGCTCGTTCTCACCTAGCATATTGCGGAAGGCATTCGCATGTAGCCGAGCCGACCGCGTTCCAATTCCAAACATGATCGAAGTGCCGAAGACGCGTTGCGAGACATGCAGCTCCCAGTAGTAGCGACCGTTGTTGAGTGGCCGCTTGCCCTGGACTCCGGCGGTGCCCTTGCTCCAGTTTGGATGAAAGTGAACGGTGCGAAAGTTGGGGCCGCTCAGCACCACCTCGTTGGAACGATTGCGATTGCTCCAGGTCCAATTGTCTTTGGTACCGTGTGCCAGCGGACAGCCACGCGAGGGCGATGCTGACGTAGGTGTCTTGGACACCTTGGCATCCTGTGATGTGGGTCCGATTCCACGGCGAGCACTGTGACGGCGTCGTCGAGGTGTCATCACCGCAGCCAAGTGTGCCGGATCCGGCTGCTGTTCAATCTCCAAGTCTGACATTGTTGCAGGTACTTCAATTTTGTTTGAAATGACAATAGGATTTTCTATTGACACTCGAAAATTTTCGAGTGCTCTCAAAGGCCTACTGTTCGATTTCTACCGAGATGGGCTGGCACTCACTTTACCCCGAGATCTGCCGGAGAGTGCTACAAGTGAGTAGTTACCAGGTTACCTGGCTCCTCGACCTGCACGGACTCTTCGAGTTCCTCCTGCTCTTCTTCCTCCTCCACCTCCTCCTCGTCGGCGTACGTGCTGCAGGTGCTTAGCGACCCGTAGCCACTGCTCAGAGAGCTGCAGCTGGGACTGCCGGACAGCAGTGGTCGATAGCTCCTAATCTGTGGCTGGCGCTGGCCCAGACTCCGCTTCAGCTCGCGCTTGATGCGACGCAGCTGCTTGTAGTCCTGGTCGCCACCGATGCGGGACGAGTGCCGCTGCTGTTGGAGCTGCAGCTCCTGCAGGTGGAAGTGATGACGGCAGTAGCCCTGCGGGCTGTGGGCACAGAAGCGACAGGCTTCCGAGTTGACGCCAGCTCCGAGGGGCAGGATGGGCTCGAGTATGCGGCGCTTCTGGCTGCGCTTTGTCTGCTCCAGCTGCTGCTGCTCCAGATGCTGTTGGGCTTTACGATCGCCGACCGTTTCGGCCACCTCCTGCAAGAGGCGTACGTTGCGGGGGAAGCATCGGTCGTGGATGTGCAGCACCAGGCGTTGGCAGTAGAGGCAGAGCGATTGGAACAGCAACAACAGCACGATAATCATATAGGGGTTGTGTGGTTGGGTGTTGGGGTTGGTGGGGTTGTTCCTGCTGTCCGTTTTTTTGGGGGTTGCTGCCGCTGCTTCCACTGGGTTCCACTCACTTGTGTTGTAAGTGGGTCTGCCTTTTGTTTCGGGGCTTCCGGCTGCCACTGTCGCTGCCACTGGCACCTTCCTCTTGTTTGGGATTTCTTAGAGTTCTTGCAAAGCTTGCAATGGATTACATTTTTCCGCTACTTCTTCTACAGTTTTTCCACTTGAGTATACATTTTTCAGTCCCACTCCTGCGACTGAGCACGTCCTATCTGCTGACGTATGTATTCGAACTCCCACCGACGACTGATGTGTGCCGTTCACTTTTCCAATTCGAACCCAGAACCCACAAAAGCCTACCCCTATTTTCGTACGGCCACAGCTGGAAGGAAACTCTTCCAACCACCAATTGGAATATATGTGTCTGCATATCATTATCATATGGTATCGTATGCCACCCCTCTGACGCTTCCCAACCCTCCACCCCCATCCAACCCCACTCAACCCACGGCTACCCAAGCCCCCGCGTTAGAGCTCTCTGCCAGAGGCATGCGCACAAGTGCCTTGCTGCTGAAAGCGGCAAGTGGTGAGATTCTGTTTGCTCTCCGCTCCCTGGGCTTGTAGTTTTTTACAGCGAAAATCATTTCCACCAAAATACCTAGACTCTCTGAACCCTTGTTTTTAAAGGAAGATCTGCACCACCGTGATAAACAACAAGCGCGAACAAAAGACCTGATTTCAAACTGGAAATTGCGAAGGCATACATATCTGGATCTCCAAGGATATTCTTTGACTTATTGAAGATGCAAAAAAAAACACATTTCTGATTTAATAAGTAAAGAAGCTTACGGTGTATACGAGTTGGAGTTCGATAACTAACATGGGTATGTTTTTGGCTTTAGCTATGGGCTAATTATATAGAGACTAATTTGTTATGTATACACCAATACTCTTTCAGTGGCAAAAACACAAGGAAAGGAAAGGGTTGAGATATTCAGCTTTTTTAATAGCTTTTGAGTTTAACAGAAACAAGTCGAACCAAAGCTAAAAGTCGAGGATCCCTTTAGGCTGCTAAACTGACTTTGATTTAATGATTTACAGACTAATATCGGGCTGAAAGAACAAAAGAATTGTGTCATAACTATTTGAAAAAAAATCGATCAATCAGCATATTTAAAAGAAGAATTTTCATCACAGATTCTTGACAGCTATATGCTTTATTTTAATGCAATAGTGCTAATGAAAATAGGGAAAATTCGGGGTCATCATTAGCGGCTTGGCTATTAAAAAGAAAATATTTTCTTTTAAAGCATTACTCAATAAACTTGAACCGAAAAATGTATGTACTAGTTTTTTGGCTCAATAAAACTATCTCTGCAACAGAACTTGCCACATCCGCTTTTAAAGGGGTGCGAACACAAAATTTATATGGAATACGCTGGCCATTGATCATATACCTGATGGGCTAAACATCCCCAAAGATGTTTAATGTTATTAAAATCTTTTTCTGTTTGCAGGTACTTATTAAAGGAATTCTCACCATTAAATGAGGATTTGCGGATTCAAAATGTTAACCATCAGTTTACTATGAATTCCCAATGAGCAATTGGGTTGCTTAGAAATATTTGTATACCTTCTTTGATGCATATGCCAATCACATATTGTGCACATATTCCTTCTTATCTAATTTTCTCTGTACCCCTTTGCATTCACCCCACAGTGATTTGGTAAACGTATACCCCTAGCTTCGTACATCTACAGTTTGTTCATCGTATTTATAAATTTTCTTTATTTTACCATTTTTTTTGTTTCATAAACATAAACGATTGGCGAAAAATAGCAGTTTTGTATAGCATAAATGTATGTAAAGGCGGAGGTCGGATGTCGTGTCTACCATTCGATATGTTCTCAGTGTCCCCATATGGCAAGGCGCATTCTTTCGCATTTCATCAAAATGGAACTTGCAGCAGATTTCCTCTACGTGAAGGTGCGGATATGTAGGTAATGGTTTTGGACATACGACCGAGGCTAGTTTATTTATTTGTTTGATTTACTTAAATTACACGTAACTAAGAAGCAGTTTACATTTGTTTAGAACATTAAATGGCAGATACAAAAATGGCATTTGGTCCAGGTCCGTTTTAGCACTAAGACGGGGGCCTGGCGCTTCGATTTGGTTAGTTTAAGGAATTGGTAGCAGTGTTGGTTCGTCTAACAGTGTGTCTCCTGTGTTCTGTGTGTGTGTGTGTGTGTGTGTGTGTGTGTGTGTGTGTGTGTGTGTGTGTGCGGTGTGGTGTGTACACTGTTCGTTGGTATATTTAGGGGCTTTAACATTAGATTAAACTTATGCTGTGCTTGTGTCTGTGTGGAGGCTCGTGGGGCAGGGCCCCGCGACGGCCTACGACGAGTTCTTCATGCAGACTTGACACCTAGAAACGCGGGACAGCAGGTTTCCAGACTTGATCGTCTGCTGCTGGGGCTTCTCGAACTGGTCGTTGGACTCCAGAGTGACCATCCAGAAGCTGGTCATTGTCTCGTAGAAGTGGCAGGTGCCCTTGGCACCGTTGCACTCAATGAACGGTGTTGCACGGAAGTCCTCCAAGCAGGAGCCAGGCGATTGCAGCGCCTGTCCACCGCCTCCATTGCCCACGGCAGTGTGCTGTGGGGGGAAATTCAATCAATCTTCCGATTCAGCTTCTAACCCGACTGAATACTCACCATGAGGAAACTGTAGCCAATCCAGAGACCCTCCCAACCTGAGGGGCATTCGGGTATTTCTAAGGACTGGCTGTGCATCGCGATGACATTGGCAGGCGCCTCGCATACCACACAGCGAGAGATGTACTTGCTAATCTCGTAGTTCTCTACGGGCATCATGGGAATGGGTGCCGATGTCGACAGCCAGAAGGTCTTGTCGTTGCGCGACGCGTAGTTGCAGATGTTGTTCTGTCCGCAGGACAGCACCGGCAGAGTGGAGAAGCGC